CTCAGGGCCTTGGGAGGGAGTTGCCCCAGTACTATTAGAAACGTTTCCAGGCAGGGCGCCGGGACTCACGCCTGTAATCCCAACAATTTGGGAGGCTGAGGAGGGTTCATCACTTGAAGTCAGGCGTTCGAGACCCACCTGGCCAACCTAGTGAAACTACCATCTTTGCTAAAAATACAAAAAATTAGCTGGGTGTGCTGCCTTGTGCCTGTAACCCCAGCAACTCGGGAGACAGGCACAAGATTTGATTGCACCCAGGAGGCCGAGGTTGCAGTGAGCCGAGATCGTGCCACTGCACTCCAGCCTGGGCGACAGAGCGAGGCTCCATCTAAAAGAAAAAAAGAAACGTTTCCAGACCTACTCCCTGAACCCAAGCACAGAGGAGTTTCAGTTTCTCGGATGAGGAAACTCACTCTCAGAACTGTTATTTATTTACCTACCTGATGCCAAAAGCCACTGTGGGATGCGTCTCATGGTGAGACCCGGGACCAATTCATCAGCTTTGCTATGGTCATTTAGTCATTAGGTGTCCTAACCTTCTCATGGATTAAATTCCCTAACAGCAGGCCTGTGTAGTTAAAACAGATTCCCGGATTGGAATCCTGGTTCTAGGGCAAGTCAACTATCCTGAGCCTACATTTCTAATCTGTGAAATGGGGCTAATCACAACTCATCTCATGGTGGTTGTGAGGCACAGAGTAAAAGACATCTAGGAGTTACTCTTTATTTTATTTTATTTATTTTTGAGACGTCAGAGTCTTGCTCTGTCACCCAGGCTGGAGTACAATGGCGCAATCTCGGCTCACTGCAACCTCCACCTCCTGGGTTCAAGCGAGTCTCCTGCCTCAGCCTCCTGAGTAGCTGTGACTACAGGTACTTGCCACCATGCCTGGCTAATTTTTGTATTTTTAGTAGAGACGGGGTTTCACCATATTGGCCAGGGTGGTCTCAATCTCCTGACCTCGTGATCCACCTGCCTTGGCCTCCCAAAGTGCTGGAATTGTAGGCGTGAGCCACTGCATCTGGCCTATTTTTTTAATTTAATTTTTTGTTTTGCTTTGTTGTTTTCTGGAGAGGGATCCTGTCGCTCATCGCCCAGGCTGGAGTACAGTGGCATGATCTCAGCTTACTGCAACCTTCGCCTCCTGGGTTCAAGTGATTCTCCTGCCTAAGCCTCCCGAGTAGCTGGGACTACAGGCACACACCACCACTCCCGGCTAATTTTTTTTATTTTTAGTAAAGACGGGATTTTGCCATGTTGGCCAGGCTGGTCTCAAACTCCTGACCTAAGATGATCCACCCCCAACTCAGCCTCCCAAAGTGTTGGGATTACAGATGTGAGCCACTGTGCCCAGCTCCTAATTTTTTTTTTTTTTGAGACAGTGTAGCTCTGTCACCCAGGCTGGAGTGCAGTGTTGTGATCTCAGCTGACTGCAACCTCTGCCTCCCAGGCTCAAGCAATTTTCAGCCTCCTAAGTAGCTGGGATTACAGGCATGTGCTGCCATGCCCGGCTATGTTTCATATTTTTTGGTAGGGACTGGTTTTTGCCATGTTGGCCAGGCTGGTCTTGAACTCCTGGCCTCAAGTGGATGTGTCTACCTTGACCTCCGAAAGTGCTGGGATTACAGGCATGAGCCACCGTGCCCGTTTTTTGTTTTTTTTTGTTTTTTTTTTTTTTTTTGTAGAGATAGAGTCTTACCATGTTGCCCAGGCTGGTCTCAGAACTCCTGGGCTCAAACCATCCTCCTGCCTTGGCCTCCCAAAATAGTGGGATTACATGTGTGAGCCACTGTGTCTGGCCAGTTGTGATTTTTATTAGTATCTCCAGGAGCCTAATGCTAATAACTAACATCTCTTGGGTGTATTATGACGTGCTAGGTATTATGCTCAATGTTTACATGCATTATTCAGTTTAATCCTCTCAACAATCATGTAAGGGAGAAACTGTCATACTGACTTTACAAAACATCGAGGCCCAGAGAAGTAACTAGTCGTAGTTCCCGTAGTTAGGAAGAGTCAGGATTCCAACCCAGGAGTTGACCTTAAGGTCTCCATTCTTGGCCCCCAGGCTCACCTGCCTGGCAGGTGGGAAGTTCAAGTGGTTCGATGTTGAAGGGATGAATGCAAGAAGTAAAGGAAAGAGCTGGTGGAAATTAGTGAGCTAAAGCTAGGCTTGGCCTGCTTTGAAGCAGTCTGGGTTTGCCCTTAGGGCAAAATCACCTGGGGTAGGTGCCAGAGAAGTGGAAGCCATGCTCAGTTTTTGACAGGCTGTGTGACCTTGGGCAGATTCTTGCTCCTGCTGAAACTTCCTTTTCCCCACTTGAAAATCTGAGGATCAGGCTGGGTGCGGTGGGTCACACCTGTAATCCCAACACTTTGGGAGACCCAGGCAGGCCGATCACCCGAGGTCAGGAGTTCAAGACCAGCCTGACCAACATTGAGAAACTCCGTCTGTACTAAAAATACAGAATTAGTCGGGCATGGTAGTGCATGCCTATAATCCCAGCTACTCGGGAGGCTGAGGCAATAGAATCACTTGAACCCCGGAGGCGGAGGTTGCAGTGAGCCAAGATGGCGCCATTGCACTCCAACCTGGGCAACAAGAGCAAAACTCCATCTCAAAAAAAAAAAAAAAAAGAAGAAAGAAAAGAAAATCTGGCTGGGCGTGGTGGCTCACACCTGTAATCCCAGTACTTTGGGAGGCCAAGGCAGGCAGATCACGAATCAGGAGATCAAGACCATCCTGGCTAACATGGTGAAACCCCGTCTCTACTAAAAATACAAAAAAATTAGCGGGGCGTGGTGGGGGGCACCTATAGTCCCAGCTACTCGGGAGCCTGAGGCAGGAAAATGGCGTGAACCTGGGAGGTGGAGCTTGCAGTGAGCTGAGATCACGCCACTGCACTCGTTTGGGCAACAGAGCAAGACTCCATCTCAAAAAAAAGGAAAGAAAAAAAGAAAATCTGAGGATCCAGGTAACTTCTCAGGCCTTTTGCTTGGACTTCCCAACTTGATTTGGGTTGTGTAGTTCTCTCTTCTCTCCAGATAATATAGGAATAAGCTGAGGCCTGGACTGGTCTTTCTGGAGGTGATAGCACAGGACTGGCTAGGATTTCGGGGACAGGTTGAATTTAGAGTGGATGGTGGTCATTATTTATTTTTTTTTGTGAGATAGAGTCTCGCTCTGTCTCCCATGCTGTAGCGCAGTGGCATGATCATGGCTCACAGCAACCTCTGCCTCCTAGGTTCAAGCGATTCTCGTGCCTCAGCCTCCCGAGTAGCTGGGACTAAAGGAGCGTGCCACCAGGCCTGGCTAATTTTTGTATTTTTAGTAGTGACAGGGTTTTGCCATGTTGGCCAGGCTGGTCTTGAACTCGCAACCTCAGGTGGTCCACTTGCCTCAGCCTTCCAAAGTGCTGGGATTACAGGAATGAGCACCCGCCCCGATTGAAAGGACGGTGTTCTGTGTTGAAGTCCTGCATAAGCAAAGTCCCAGAGGCAGGTGTGAGTCTGGGCTTTTAGGCCTGGCTGGAGCTGAGTGTGGTGTTTGAGGGGTGGGTGTAGATGTTGACCAAGTGGGGTAAGGAGGTGTGTGCAAAGTTGGTGGTCCTTCAGTGTCAGATATATGTGTCAGATGTGTGTCCAGGATGCCCCCATGCCAGCTTGCAGAGGGCTTCCCGTGCTAGGCTGGCATGTGGTCCAGGAGTTGCCATGTGCCAGCTGTGTGTTCGAGGCATGCGGTCACATGTGCTGTGGGCTGCACGTGAGTGTGTCAGTGTCTCCTCCCCATCACGAGCATCGGGGGTGGTGGTGAGTCACGGGCTCAGCCTTCAGTGCCAACTGTCATGTTTCTTCCCCCCAAATTTCACCCCCCCACCCAGCCATGCACCACCCACCCCCACTCCAAGATCTGTGTCGCTTCTCTCTTCCATCCCCCTGCCCTGCTCAGCTCCTTCTGAGAGGCTGCAGAGTGTTCCCTGGGAAGGAGTCTCCCACTTCTCCTGGCTCTGCCCTCCAGCTCCCTGTCCTTCTATCCACCTTTCCCACTGCCTCTCTGCTCCTGCGACTAGATAATGAGGGCCCCTTCTCTCCACCCACTCATCTCTGTGGGTCCCAAGGATTTCTCTGTGCACTATAGGGAATTCCCATACTCACCACCCATCCCCTCACCTCTATAGGAGCTATTTCTATTGGGAGAAGCTTGCTCCGCATCTCCAGGCTGGCAGCTCCTGCCTCAGTGGCTCTCTTGTGTCTATGAGCCACATCCTTGTCTTTGTGGTCCCCTGGTGTCTGTAGGCCTCCCTTGTTTCTGTGACCTTCTTCGGCTCTCCTTGGCTCTCTCCCTGCCCTGTGGACCGCTCCCCATATCCAAGGAGTGCTTTCTGTTTCCAGGGGCCTCTCTCGTGTCTCTGGCTTCTCCCCTGTTTTCCTTCACGGGAGGTCTCTGTGTCCACATACTGCCCCTTGTCTCCGAGGTCCTTTTGCTTGTCTGTGCAGGCTGCTCCCTTGTGTCCATGGGCCTTTCTTTCTTATCCCTGGGCTTTTCCTGTCCTTGTGGGGTTTATGGGCCTCGGCCCACTTCTCTGGACAGTCTTGATGGCTGTCTCTCTTCTCTTCATTTCTCTTCATCTCTGTAGCCCTCTCCCCTCATCTCAGTGGCCTTCTACCCAGGTCTCCTTGCCTCCCATCTCTGTGGGCTCCTGTGCCCAGGGCTGTCTGGGCAGGGCGGTGGCATGGGGTGGTAGAGGGGGTGGCTTGGGGGTGGGCTCTCCATCCAATGCAGCTCCTTCTTCTCATCAGCATTCTCCTCGCGGGGGGGGCCCCCATCCCCAACCAATACGGGCTCCCCCTCCCCCGACTCCCCTCCCTACTCGCTCACTGCCTGCCTCCCTCCCTTCCTCCTGCCCGCCCTCCTCCCTGCCTCCTTCCCTCTTCTCTCTCCCCACAACCCCCCCCCCCCCCCCCCCCCCCCCCCCCCCCCGCGCTCCAGGACCCAGCGCGGGCGGCAGGCGGGCAGGCAGGCGGGCAGGCAGGCGGCGGCCTCAGAGGGGAGACTAAGCGGTGGCGGCAGCAGTGGCGGCAGCCAGCGGCGGGGAGGCAGGCCCAGCCAGGGACTGGAGCCGGCGGCGGCTTTTCCTCACAGGGGACCAGGAGTCTGTGACCAGGCCCTCCCACTGAGGCCCAGGACCGGGAGCCCCTGGGACACCCCACCCTCCTCCGCCTTTCTCTTCCACCTGCTTCTCTCCATCCTCCTCTCTCTCCTCCCTCTCTCTCCACCTCATTTGCCCCCTTGTCGGCCTCTCTGGGTCTCCCAGCTCTCCATCCTCCCCAGCCCTCCACTCCCGGGCTCTCCCCGCCCCCAGCATGCTTTTCCCGTGGGGGCTGAGGGCTTGAGGACTCCCGGCCCTTGCCTCAACCAGGGCAGGGCCCAGGCTCCAGGGGGGAGGGGGGAAGGGGGTGGCCCCCTCCCCCAGCAGGCCCTCCCCTCCCCCACTTCTCCTGATGGCCGGCTTCCTTTTCTCCACCCAGTCCTCGCCCCCTGTGGCCCCCCCAGGCCGGCCCGGCTAGGGGAGGGGGCGGGGGCCCTTTCCTGGGCCAGCTTCCCCCTCCCCCGGCTTTGCCTGTGCCCCCCCTTCCGTTTTCACCTTCCTCTCCTCCTTTCCTCTCTCCTTCCCCTCCATTTGCTCCTTCCTCCTCTCCTCTCTCCCCTTCTCTCCTCCATTTTCTCCTTTCCCCTTCCTCCCCTCCCAGGCCCGCCCTCTCCTCTTCCACCTGTCCTTCCTCCCTGCTTCTGTGGAGCTACCGTTTTGGATTAGTTGGGGGCCACCGCCAGCGGCGGGGGAGGGGGCCCTGTGGACTGCCCTCTCCCCCCGCCCAGCCCCACCGCCACCCAACGCCGGAGCACCTCCCGCTGTCGGTCCTCGGGCCTCGAGGGAGCCCAGCCCTCCGTCCCACCAGGATCCGTGAGTGTCTGCAGGGCGGGGATTGGGCTGGGTTCTGGGTCCTGGAAGGCTGGGCTTGGTGCTGCCTGGCGGGGGGCACCACATTCTCCCCGTTCTCCGGACTGGCAAGTACCCTCCCCCACAAGGGGCCTGCTCTGCGCCCTCCATCTCCTCAGTGTCCATTCACCTCCACCTCTTCTCACCCCTTATTCTGGGTACATAGCTCACTGCCACCCCCAGCTCTCCAGCTTTGTGGGTCCTACTGGGCTGACTGCTCTTACTCGGGCTCTGACTTACCCCGGGCCCCTGGCATGTCCGTGCCCCTGCTGTCTCCAAGCCTCCGTCCTGGTCCCAGACTGGCTCTTTCTGTTCCTCTGAGCCTCATCCTCTGCCTGCCTTCGGTGGGCCCTGGCCCTGTCCCCATCCCATCCAGTCCCTGTCTCCTGGAGATGTCTTTCCGCTTTTGAGCCCCCATTTTCTGTGTCTCCTGGGTCCCTCTCTGACTCTGTCCAACTTCTCTCTTTGCTGTTAACCCAGGCTGCTCTCAGCATGTCTCTGTTTAGATCCCTGTCTCTGTCAGAACTCCTCCACCCTGGCTTCCCTCTCTCCGAGTCTCCCTTGGCAGGTCTCTTTCCACTTCTCTTTCCATTCTGTGCCTCCGCTCACCTGTCCTCCTCCCTCTCTCTGCCTCTGGGCTTGGAGGCTGTCTTCCCTCTGTCACTTTTCCACCTCTTTCCCCCAGATCCACTCTGGGTACCCGGCTCCTCCGACCCTCCCTCCTCAGCTGCTGCCCCACTGCTCCATGGTCCATGCTGACTTTTCCTGGCTGGTTCAACTCTTTCCACTCCCATTCTCTCTCCCCACTTCTGTGTTACCTCACGTGGCCTTTCTGCTCCCTTTTCTCTCCATATCTGGGGGCTTTCAGGCCGTGGGATCTCCTGCTCCCCTGCACGGCTTTCCTGAGTGTCTTGGGGTGGCTGTGCCTCTGTGTGGGTCTAGCCCCTCCTGCAGGCGCTTGCCCTGTCCCTGCTTGTGCTCCTCTAGTGCACTCACTCCATCTCCCCACCTCTGTTTCTCTCCCTGACTCCCCCTTTCTGTCTCCCAGTTGCTTTTCCCCCTTGCCCCTTCCTCTTCTATGGGCCTGCTGTGCAGCTGTGACATACTGTCTCTCTTTCCGACTGGCCATCTCTCTTTGCGGAGTTTGGCCATTTCTCTCCTTCTCCCAAGTCTTGTACCTGCTGCTATTTCTTTATCTCCCTTAGCCTTCTCCCTCACCCCGTGTGCCTTTGCTGGCCCTCCTTGCCTCTCACCTTTGCTGATGTCTCTCCTGTGCCCACTGTTGCTGAGCTCTCTGCTGGGTTTTGACCTTTATCTGGCTTTGCCCAGTCTCTGGGGCTATGAGTCCTGGGCCTGCGTGACACCCTGCCTGCCCTGTCTCTATCTCCTTTGATGTCTCACTTCTAGGCCGTGTCTGTCTCTTGCTCTCTCACTTAGCCTCAGTTCCTACCTCTTGGGCTGTCTTTCTGTGTGTATCTGTGTCCACCTGCTGCCCCTCAACCCTGTTGTGTTGTCTTTTTCTCTGTCCACTCCCACCTTTGGCTGCCACCTGTGGGTTCCTGTCCTTCTGCCCCATCTTTCCTTCAGTCTTTCTGTCCTTTGTCCTCTGCTCCCTGATTTTCTTCAGGAGTCCCTGGTGTCTCAGGATGACCCACTCCCCTCCTACCTCTCTCCTAGCCCCGCCCTTCACACTCCTCCCACTGTGAGCGCTCCTTCCCGGTCTCCCAGCATCCCTTGCGCCTCCATCCTTGACAAGCCTTCACCATAATCCACATTATAGTTTGCAGTCCCCAGCCTGTCCATCATGCCTTCCCACCCGGCACTCTCTCCTTCTCAGAGGCCCAGAGGGCAGTAACTTGCTCAAGATTACACAGTGAGTCTGGGGCAGAGCTGAGACTGATCCCTGGCCTGGGTTTTCCAGGCCACTTGAGATGGTCAGAAGGACTTGTGCCTCTATCCTTCCCTCGAAGTTCTCATTCCAGTTTCACCAGTTCAAGCTGTCCTTCCATGGGGACTGAGTGGGGTCCGGTGTCCAGGCCCACCTCACAGCATTCTGGGCCCCCAACAGTAACCCTACTCCATGGAAACCCAAGCATCCCTTCCCTTGGGGCACAGCCCTCAGCCAGAGGGAGCGGAGCTGTGCGTCTGGCCGAACTGGTTGCCCTGCAGAAGGCCGGGGTGCCTAGAGGAATCCCTGACTCCATAGGAGTGGAGAGTTGTGAAGAGCAAAGATATACCATCTCCCCCTTTACTTCTGCTCCCCAGCAGGGTGGGGGGCAGCGGTTTGGCACCAACTTCTGGCAGGCAGCTCACTCCCTTCCTTACTAACTCCTCCCTTCCAGCTCTTCCTGTTTGTATCCAAGTCGGTTCATATCTTTTCTCCATCCTCTGTCTCCGTCTTCCTGTGTCTCACCTGTGACTTGGTTTCCACCTCTCCAGCCTGTCCCTCTCTCTTCCTCTCCCTGCTCTATCCTTTCTTTATCTTGCCTCCTCATCCTCCTGTCTCTCCCCTCTTTCTCCCTTCTTGTCCTCTTCCTAGCTCCCTGTAACTCTCTTCTTTTCTCTCCATTTCTACCCCCATTTTCCTATTGTCTTGTCTTTCTCTTCCCTTGTATTTCTATTTATTTTGTCCTTTCTCTTTTTCTGAATCTCTGTCTTTCCCTTCTCTAAGCCTCTCTTTCACTTTCTCTGTTTCCTTCCTTCTCTCTCTTTGCTTATTTATTTATTTATTTGTTTGTTTTTTAGCTCTTTTACTGTTCTGGGTCCATTCATCTATGGGGCTCTGTGTGTGCCTCTCTCTCTTTTTCTCCATCTCTCCCAAAGTTTCTTAACTCCTGGATACTCTCCCCTCCAGACCTCGGATGTCCAGGCCTCTCTCCCCATGGGATTGTGGGAACCAGGGACGTCAGGAAGTGGCAAGTGAGGCCTGGGATGGGGTTGCCTAGCAACCACCGCATCCTCTCCAGCCGGTTTCTGTTGCCTAGTAACGGCTGCCTGCCCAGAGACAGGGGTGGGACTGGGTGGGGGGTGGCACTTCCTGGTTTCCTATTAGGGTGGGGCTGGTCCCAGGAATTCACTCCTACCTGAGAACCTTGCACGCCTCCCTCCTGTTTTGGTAGCTGTGCCCATCCTCTCTCTTGCAGCCTGTCCCACTCAGCACCTGAGCACTGTGACCTCCGCTCTCCTCTCTGAGCTGAGCTTCCCTTCTCGCAATGCCCTCAGTATTGCCAGCTTCTGAACAGAGCAGGGCTCTGCAGAGCTGTGAACTGCTTGCCAACAATGTCCCCAAGGCTTCTGTGATCACCCCATCTAGCAGGCCTCCAAGGGGTTCAATCCCACCACATAGTAATCTCCCCCTGGGCTGGGGGGTCTGCTTGTAGGTGGCGAGTGGGGGCCGCGGCAGCTGCGTCCCCATGAGGAGGGGAGGAAGATGCCGGCTGAGCTGCTGCTGCTGCTGATTGTTGCCTTCGCCAGCCCCAGCTGCCAGGTGCTCTCATCACTGCGCATGGGTGAGGCCCTCCCGCACCCTGCCCCTGTGTCCTCAGAGACCCTCCCGTCAGGCCCTGGGGTTCCTCTGGGGACCCATGCATGCCAGTCCCTCAGGACCTGGGTCTCAACTCTCTTCAGCAGCAAGGAGTCCCAGCCTCCAGTTCCTCCTTCCCCCAGGACCCAGGAGTCCAGACCCCTAGCTCCTACCAACCTCAGATCCAGGTGTCTAGACCCCTGGTCCCTACACTTACCTCACCCTAGAGCCCAGGAGTCCAAGACCCCAGCCCCCTCCTTCCTCATGACCCAGGAGTCTGGTCCCCAACCCCTGTGTCCCCTCAGCTGCAATCCTGGATGATCAGACAGTGTGTGGCCGCGGTGAGCGTCTGGCCTTAGCCCTGGCCCGGGAGCAGATCAACGGGATCATCGAGGTCCCAGCCAAGGCCCGAGTGGAAGTAGACATCTTTGAGCTGCAGCGGGACAGCCAGTACGAGACCACGGACACCAGTGAGCGGGGCCTTAGGGGCATGGGGTGAGGCAGGGCAGGCCGGTGGCCCTCAGTCCATCCCTTTGCCCCTGGCTTCTGGCCTGGTCTTGTCCTCTTCTAGCTCCATCTTTCCCCTTCCTTTGTGTTTGTCTCTGCCTTCTTCCCAGACATGACTGCTTCTGGGCCTGGAGGTTGGAGAAGAGGGAGAGCATAAGCCCCAGGTCTGCTCTGGAGGTGCGCGGGGTGGCATTGGAAAGATAAGCCCTGTCATCCCAGCTGGCCATGGATGCTTGTTAGCCCCCAGAGCTTAATAACAAGCCCCAGGCATGGAGGGCAGGAGGCTTGCGCGAGGGTCAGCAAAGGCATTCTGGAGAAAGCTAGTCTGAAGCTGGGCTCTGAAAGGTGAACAGGATATAGAAGGAGTGGCATGGCTCCAAGTGCGGCCGGCCACATGACGGGGGTGTGGAAGTGTCTATGGAATACTAATGGGCTGAATGTTCAAAGGTGTCACTTGAACAGATGTGCTGCAGTTAGACCTTCGGGAGATGCTGCCTTAAAACATGTTTTAGACAGGTTTCTTTCCTGCAGGCCTTATCAGAGGCTTTATGGTGTTACTGCATGTTTCAGATCACTAAGAGGGAGAATGGGGTATGGCGTTTCACAGGCTCTTTTGGCTGGTGTGGCACAGAGTACAATTTGGGAGAAGCTGGGATGGAGGGTGAGGAGGCAGATGGCATTCCAGGCATGTGCCTAGAGTCTGGAGTTGGGGTGGGGATCAGGGTGGGAGCAGAGGGAAATATTTGGAGCCAAGGAATGAGGGTGTGGAGTTGAGCCCATCCTGAATCCACCTGGATTCAGGGCATATTTGGAGAGATTGTGAGAGACTTCAGAGCTAAGTGTGAGGCAGTAGGAAGCGAGGCTGTGTAGGGTGTCAGGCCGGCTCAAGGAGGCTATGGTGCTGGGGTGAAAGATGCCGCCTTCACCCACAAGCACTGAGAAGCCATTGATAGGTCTATACCAGGGAGCAAGGCTTCTGGAAAGAGAATCTGGAGGCTGGATTTGGGTAATGAGTGAGAACTCTGGTATATGTCTGAGTTAAGAGTCCTAAACTAGGGCAGGGGCCAAAGGGTTGAAGAGAAGGGGACAGATGTGAGATATTTGAGGACAAAGAAGAGACAGGACGTGGTGACTAACTGGCTGTCAGGAGAGAGATGGAAGGCAAGGACCATTTCCAGGCATCTGGTCTGTGTGGATGGTGGGGCCCTCACCAGTGTGGAAGGTCCAGAAGGAGCCAATTTGGAGGAAATGAGGTGTTCAGTTATGACGCCTTTAGTTAGAGGTGGCAGAAACCAAACTCAGCCTGGTTTAAGGAAAAAAGAGAACATATTAGCAAATGTCACTAAAAGACCTACGGACAAATTTCAGGCATGGTTGAATCCAGGTGTTCAAACGATGGCCTAGGATTGTTTCAGGCATGGCTGGATTCAGGTATTCAAATGACATCCTGTAGAATCTCTCTGTGTCTTTACTTTTGAGGCCTGCTTTCCTGTGAGTTGGCTTCATTTTCAGAAATGCTCTCTCAGCTGGTGGTGAGATAGCCCCAGCAGCACCAAGCTTACATCTCACCAGTCTAGCAAACCCAGTGATAATTGTAGCAAAAGACCTGGGGAAGGTGCTCCATGGTCTGATTTGCGCCCATACGTATCTCTGGACCAGTTGCCATGGCTAGAAGAATGGAGTTCTGTGACTGCCCAAGGCCTGCATCAGGTGCCAGTCAATCCTGGGAACACTGGACTGAAGGGTGGGGATAGTTCCCCCAGGAGAAGTTAGGGTTCTGCCATGAAAACAGGCACTGGACAAGCAAAAACAGCAGCTTTCCACCTCCCAGTCTCGAGACACACATGTGTCTAAGAAGGAAGAGAGCAGAAGAAAGAGGAGGAAGTAGGTAAAGCAGGAGAGTGGTGTTTGGAGTATGAGGAGGCTCCAGGGGACCTGGGCTGCGGGGTCAGGGGAGGAGGTAGTGAGTGCACCGTGGGTTGTGGCATGGCTGAAAAGATTGAGAACAACAGCGGCTGAGGGACTAGGCACAGGCTTTGCAGGCAGAGGAGGCCCCTGGTGTCTCTTTCTCTTTATCCCTTCCTTTGATCTCCCTTGGCCTGACCTGTCCCTCTGTTGCTGTGTCCTCATCTCTCTCTGTCTCATGCCCCCTCATGTTCACTTGTTGGGTGGGGTCAGAGACTGTCCTTCTGGGTCCCGGATGGCAGAAGAGGATCAGGCAGTTGCCAGTGTCTGATCCTCTCCTGGGCCATGGGGGCTCCCTGAGAGATGGGGAAAGAGAGGAGGCAGGGGGTCCCTGACTCTGTGGTCTCTTCCCCTTCCCTTGCAGTGTGTCAGATCTTGCCCAAAGGGGTTGTGTCTGTCCTCGGGCCCTCCTCCAGCCCAGCATCTGCCTCCACTGTGAGCCATATCTGTGGAGAGAAGGAGGTGAGGTGGGGAGCATGGGCCCAGGGCTTTGCGGGGAGTGGGTCCCTGGGAGGCAAGGGCTGGGCGGAGAAGCAGGATGGAGGCCAAAGTTTCCTCTCTGTCCAGATCCCCCACATCAAGGTGGGTCCCGAGGAGACACCCCGCCTTCAGTACCTTCGCTTCGCATCTGTCAGCCTGTACCCCAGTAACGAGGACGTCAGCTTGGCAGTCTCCCGAATCCTCAAGTCCTTCAACTACCCCTCTGCCAGCCTTATCTGCGCCAAGGCTGAGTGTGAGGGAGAACTGGATGTTTTGTTTTCTGTTCCCCAGACACCCCTTCCCAAGAGATCTGGTGTCCCACACAGTGGTTCACTGCCCGCTAGTTAGAACCCTGGGGCACCCAGACACCAGGCTCTTCTCCCATCTTCAGAAACCGAGGCCCCTGGTTCCACAGACCCCTTCTCTCCTCAAAGAGATCCATTTAGTCCCCAGATGGTGACTAAGCACCTGTCATGTCAAGACCCTCTGCTAGGCCCTGGGCGTGGTCCCTGGGTGCTTGGAACTCCGGTTCTAGTGGAGGTCATTGGTCATTGAGCTGTTGTGATACAGAGTGGTACGTGTGCTGTCAAGAGGCATGTGGAGCCTCTGGTATCACATAGGAGGGATCCTAATCCATCTGGGAGGTTCAGAGCCTGTGCCTATGAGAAAGAGACATCCAAGCTGAACCTGAAGGGTGTGGGAAGAAAGAGGGAACAGGTTCTAAGCAGAGTGTGGCAAGGGCAGAGGTAGAGGGCCCAGGGAGCACGGCCCTTCAAGAGGCTTACAGATGCTCTCAGTGGCTGAAATATGGGAACAACGAAGCAAGAGATGATGGGAGCCATGGGAGGTCCCCATGCAGGGCAGGGCGAGGGGACAGGGTCAGATTCGTGTTCTAGGAAGAGCGCTTAGGCTGCAGTGTAGAGAATAGGCTGGAGAGTGACAAGAGGGGTGGCAAGGAGACAAGCGAAAGGCAGGGAGAGGTGACACTGGTCTGGGCCCAGGTGGTGGCAGTTGGAATGAGGGGGCCAGGGTGATGTGAGAGGCAGTGACGGAAGGAAGAGGGTGGGGCTAGGGATGGTGTGAGGCCTCTGCCAAGGAGGAACACTATTCATCAGGGGCACACATTGGGCATGGTGTGTCTTTGAGACATTCATGTGAGATGTCTGGTAGACTGGTGGATTTGTGGGTATGGAGTTTGAGGCAGGGAGGGACTGTGCTCCATAGCCTCTAGAAGGAATTCCTCCTTCAAGAAGTATTTACTGGGCCAGGCGTGGTGGCTCACACCTATAATCCTAGCACTTTGGGAGGCCAAGGTGGGAGGATGGCTTGAGGCCAGGAGTTCAAGACCAGCCTGGGCAACATGGTGAGACCCCATCTCTTAAAAAAAATTTATTGAGCACCTGCTCTGTGCCAGGCACTGCTCTTGGTATTAGGGGTCAGCCGTGGGTGAAGTAGTCCAAGTACGTTCTGATGAGAGGACTTGGGCAAAAAACACCACAAATAAGTGTATTACATGGTTAGAAATAGTGAGTTCTATGGAAAAGTAGAAATGACTTATGAAGAAGGGTGTGGGCGTGGGGTGCAACTTTAAATGAAATGGTGGGCGAGGGCCTCATTGAGAAGGTGACGTTGGAGTAGAGACCTGGAGGAGGGGAAGGAGGGAGCCATGTGAGGATGTGAAAGAAGAGGGTTCCAGGCCAAGGGAATAGCCAGCGTGAAGGCTGCAGCACAGGAGCAAGACTGTGGTGTGTGCAGAACAGCAAGGAGGCGGTGTGGCTCAAGCCCAGAGAGTGAGTGGTGGGGAGAGGAAGGGCTGTGGGCTGGGTGGTTTAAAAAAAAAAAAAGGTATTTATCGAGCAGCTGCTATGTGCCAGGCCCGGCTCTTGGTATTAGGCTATTAGGGATCAGTCTGTACTCTAGTGTCTCAATGAGTCCCCCGCCCACCATTTCATTTAAAGTTGTACCCCACACCCACACTAGACTCCCAGTCTTCATAACTCACTTCTGCTTTAACATAGAACTCATTACTTCTAACCATGTAATGCACTTATTTGCGGTATTTGTTGCCCCACTCATCTCCTCATCCTGTACCCGGTCTGCTTCACTCACGGCTGACCCCCAATACTAAGAGCAGAGCCTGGCTCAGAGCACATGCTCAACAAGCACCTTTTTTTTTTTTTTTTTTTTTAAAGAGTTGGTGTCTCACTATATTGGCCAGGCTGGTCTTGAACTCTTGCAGTCTGGGCAGTAACAAGGGGGTGAGGTGGGCAGATTGTGTGGGGACTTGGAGGCTGTGAGGACTTCGGCCTCAATGACTCTGACTGAACTGAGAAGTCATTCGAGGGTTTGGGGCAGAGGAGGAGCACATCTGACCCGCATCATTCTGGCTGCTGTGTACGGAACAGAGTCAGGGGCAGGCTTGGGGATTGCAGCAGGCAGGAATTGGTGGTGGCTCAGGGCAGGGTGGTGACAGTGGCATGGGGTAAGGAGATCTGATGTGTTTGGAAGGTAGGGCCTTGATGGATTGGGTGTGAAAGAGAGGAAGCCAGAGTTTTGGCCTGAGCGACTGGCACACTGGAGATGCTGTTCACCAACACGGGAAAGCCGTGGTGGTTGAGCAAGGAGATTAAGCATGAGATGCCTGTCAGACACCCCAGTGAGGGGTCAGGAAGGTGGCAGAGACAGGAATCGAGTTCTAGGAAGAGGTCTAGGTTGGGATTTTAACTGGGGAGGGCCCAGGCTTCGAGTCCCCAAGCCCATTACCCCATGAGATCCAGCTGCCCCATGTCCTTGCACACCCTCCAGTCCTCTGCCCAGCTGCCCCATGTTGAGAAAGAGTGAGTGTCTATGCCATGCCTGGGTACCTAGAAGGGCTCCAACCCAAGGCCCCACCCCTCCCTCAGGCCTGCTGCGATTGGAGGAACTGGTGCGTGGCTTCCTCATCTCCAAGGAGACGCTGTCAGTGAGGATGCTGGACGACAGCCGGGACCCCACGCCACTGCTCAAGGAGATCCGTGATGACAAGGTGTCCACCATCATCATCGATGCCAACGCCTCCATCTCCCACCTCATCCTCCGTAAGGTGAGCCCCCCACCTCTAATTTCCCAAAGAACTGGGGCCAGAAACTTGGGGTGACTGAGCAAGTCACCCAATGCCGTGGGCCTCAGGAGTCAAAAGGGGGCTTCAAGACCTTCTTCTTCTGTGAAGATGATAATTGTAAAGTTTGTCTCTCAGCCTGCCTGCTTCCTGGTTGTGTGGTCCTGGGCAGTCACCCCATCTGCCTGTGTATAGTCACTGTTCAGTGGGTTGTGAGGATAATGAGTGAGTGGCAAGTAAAGTATGTAGGGCAGTGCCTGGCCCAGAGTCAGATCTGGCTACATCGTAGCACTGAAGGATTTTTAAACATTTTTTATTGAGCTCTGTGTTAAGGTGTTTTTGCATGTATTTTTTTTCTTTCTCTTTTTTTTTTTTTTGAGACGGAGTCTTGCTTTGTCGCCCAGGCTGGAGTGCAGTGGCGAAATCTCAGCTCACTGCAACCTCCGTCTCCTGGGTTCAAGTGATTCTCCTGCATCAGCCTCCCAAGTAGCTGGGGCTATAGGCACCTGCCACCACACCTGGCTAATTTTTGTATTTTAGTAGAGATAGGGTTTCACCATATTGGCCAGGATGGTCTTGAACTCCTAGTAACCTAGTGATCTACCTGCTTTGGTCTTCCAAAGTGCTGGAATTACAGGCGTGAGCCACCGCACCTGGCCAGTAACCAAATTTGTATTATTTATTTTTCTCTCCTTTTTTTTTTTTTTTTTTTTTTAAATTAAAACCGTATGTCAGCCAGGTGCAGTGGCTCATGCCTATAATCCCAGCACTTTGGGAGGCCGAGGCGGGCAGATCACGAGGTCAGGAGATCAAGATCATCCTGGGTAACACAGTGAAACCCCATCTCTACTAAAAATACAAAAAAATTAGCCGGGCATGGTGGCAGGTGCCTGTAGTTCTACCTACTCAGGAGGCTGAGGCAGGAGAATCGCTTGAACCTGAGAGGTGGAGGTTGCAGTGAGCTGAGATTGCACCACTGGACTCCAGCCTGGGTGACAGAGCAAGAGTTGGTCTCAAAACAAAAACAAAAACAAAAACAAAAAACCCATATATCACTGCTGGCTGTAGCCCACAGGAAGTGTGAACAGAATCCACTGGGTTCTTGAGACAGGATGACTTAAGGAAGAGGTTTCAGGTTTGGGAGCCAGGCAGGCCTGGGCTGGGATCCTGTCCCCTCCTGTGCCAGCCGTATGAACAGTTGTCTCTTCCCTTTCCAAGCCTGCCCTTCCCTGACACCCACGTGATAAGAGCCCAACTCCTGCCACCCAGGAAATGCAAGCTGGTGCCCTTTAATTTTATAATTCTCGTGGGGGGACAGACTTGGGTGCTTCTGGCAGGAAGAATTTTTCCAGCTTTGTTTTCCTTGAGGACTATGAGAAAAGGGGCTCAAGAATGAATCTTGACATTCAAACTGGCTGCTATTATTGCAAAGCACTCTTAAAGATTGCAGGGAATCGATTTTCTGACCTTATGCCTGGGCTGAGCCCTACACATTAGCAGCCCAACCTTGGCTTTTGGAGAGTGTAGGGCTTAAAATTAAGGCTCTCCTCTCCGCTGGGCCTGGTGGCTCACACCTGTAATCCCAGCACAATGGGAGGCCAAGACAGGAGGATTGCTTGAGGCCAGGAGCTTGGGACCATAGCAAGACCCCATCTCCACAAAAAATAAATAAATAAATAAATAAATAAACTTTTACTTAGCTGGGCATTGTGGTGCATACCTATGATTCCAGGTACTCAGGAGCTAAAGTGGGAGGATCACTTAAGCCTGAGAGGTCAAGGTTTCAGTGAGCTATGATCCACTGTACTCCAGCCTAAGTAACAGAGCAAGATCCTATCTATAAAAATAATAATTCCTCTTCCTACCCTATTTCTGAGACTTCTTCTTACCTGTCTCCAGAAGGAAATCTTATAAGTGCCTTCATGAAAGATGGGGGCGTTTGGGGACCCTATTCTCTCCTCTAGCAAAATCTCCATCCCACCTGAGACAGCAGTCAGCATGGCAGGACACCAGGGACTAAGGCCTCCCTCTGCCCCCTCTTGTCTCCTCCTCCCTGTCTGTCTATCTCTGAGCATTTCTTACTTTACTGTGTTTCCCATGGGATGTCTTCTCACCAGATCTGTCTCTAAATCTCTCTTCCTCTCTTGAGTCCTCCCCATTTCTGCCTGTGGGTCTCTGTCTCTCACTCTGCCTCTTTGCCTCCCTGTGTTTTCCAGGCCTCAGAACTGGGAATGACTTCAGCGTTTTACAAGTACATCCTCACCACCATGGTGCGTAGGCCTTCTGGCCCCTCTCTGCCCCCACTTCCCTCCCACCACAGCTGTCCCACTTAGGTCTCGGCCCCAGGCCTCACTACCTCTTCCTGGTCCCAGGACTTCCCCATCCTGCATCTGGACGGTATTGTGGAGGACTCCTCCAACATCCTGGGCTTCTCCATGTTCAACACATCCCACCCCTTCTACCCTGAGTTTGTCCGCAGCCTCAACATGTCCTGGAGGGAGAACTGTGAAGCCAGCACCTACCCAGGCCCTGCGGTGAGCACACAGATACCCAGTCACACCCAGAGACACTCTGTGCACAGATACTTCTGGTACCCCCTTTCAGACCTCGCTCAGATTATGCTCAGAACCCTCTCGCCTCCCTGAGGCCTCGTGGTGTGGCCTTGTGATGCACTAGGGCCATATCCTCCTCTCCCTCTACCTCCCACACCACTCTGGCCACACCGGCTCCTCGAGGTGCCTCTGATGCCCCAAGCACAGGTGCACCTCAGGGCCTCTCCACACCGTCTTCCCCCTGCTTCCCATGAACTTTCTGAGAGAAGCAGTGGGTCGCTCCCTATCACTAGGACGTTGCTCCAGTGTCCCCTCAGGTATAAGATTTTTCCTTCCTCCTCCTGTTTAAAAAATGGTAAACTTGGCCCGGCGTGATGCCTCACACCTGTAATCCCAGCACTTTGGGAGGCCAAGGCAGGCAGATCACCTGAGGTCAGGAGTTCAAGACCAGCCTGGCCAACATGGTGAAACCCCACCTCTACAAAAGTATAAAAATTAGCCGGGCGTGATGGCGGGTGCCTGTAATCCAGCTACTTGGGAGGCTGAGGCGGAAGAATCACTTGAACCCAGGAGGCGGAAGTTGCAGTGTGCTGAGATCGTGCCATTGCACTCCAGCCTGGGTGAGAGAGTGAGACTCTGTCTCAAAAAAAAAAAAAAAAAAAAAAGGGTAAACTGGCCAGGCATGGTGACTTACACTTGTAATCCCAGCACTTTGGGAGGCTGAGGCAGGAGGCTCACTTCAGGTCAGGAGTTCAAGATCAGCCTGGCCAACATGGCGAAATCCTGTCTCTACTGAAAACACAAACATTAGCTGGGTGTGGTAGCACGTGCCTGTAATCCCAGCTACTTGGGTGGCTGAGACACAACAGTTACTTGAACCTGGGAGGTAGAAGAGGTTGCAGTGAGCCAAGATTGTGCCACTGCACTCCAGCCTGGGCGATAGAGCAAGACTCTGTCTCAAAAGAAAAAATAAAAAAGGTAAAGTATCTACCTTTTCACCCCTCCCTGCCTTGTCTTTTTCCATAGCACTTATGTTTGCTTATTTCATCACGATGTGGCTTACTGTATATTAGACTTACATAGAGATATGGATTTGAGGACTGTAAGTTCCATGAGGGCAGGGGGTTCTGTTTATTTTGTTCACCATTGTATCCCCAGTACTTAAAACAGCATAACTCGTAACAGGTGTCTGATAATAGATGTTGAATAAATACCAGCATACAGAAGATGCATATTTATATGTATTTGTTCACTGACATCTACTCAGATACCAAGACACCAAGACACTTCTACGCACAGAGTGCACATGGACACCAAGCTGTCTAGTCAGTTGGGTCCACACAGGGACATCACACACCCCAACACAGAGGCACATTTGTGTGTACTCCTGTGCACATCTACGCAACACAGATACTCAGACCTTCACACTAACACAGCTAGGGCACACCCTAACAAGCACACACAGGCACCGTGGTTGTGTCACAGCTTGGTGGCCAGAGTGTATGGTACGCTCACTGTGTGCCAGGTGCTGTTCTGAGTGCTTTACAGGCGTTATGTCACCAGGTCCCCACAACAGCACATGAAGGTAGAGATTACTATTATCCTCATTTTACAGAAAAGGAAACTAAGGTTCAGGGAGGAATGAGGACTTAGCCCTGTCACAGAATGAGAAAATAGCAGAGCCGGGCCTCTAGCTCTGAGCCAGCTGCCTCCCAGGCCTGGGACCAACCATTAAACGCTCCTACCTTTCTGACACCACACCCACCCTTCGTATAGATGAATGGGCATGGTCATCCAGCCCCACTCATGTAAACATGTCCCAGACACACTCAGATGGGGACTGTGGCCATCTTCCCTGGCCTACATCACCCAGATTGCCGGACATACCTGCCCATGCAGGTGACACAGCTGGCTATCCAGGCACCCTCTGAGAGACACATGGATCCAGGCACCCTCTGAGAGACACATGGCCACACACAGTCTGGGAGACCTACTCCCACCAAGACACGGGAAGCACACACACCTTCCCCGCTGTCAATTCCACTTCCCAAAAAAGACACTGGAGCCACTTCCTCACTCCTGACCCACCCAGTTTCCCATTCCTGGGGAGAGGGAAGTTATTTGAGGGCTTGAGGGTGGCAGCTCAGGGGCCTTTGGGGCTCCCCTGGCTAAGCAGCCTCTTATCCATCCCACCCCCGCCTCTGTCCCACCACAGCTGTCAGCTGCACTGATGTTTGATGCCGTGCACGTGGTGGTGAGCGCTGTCCGAGAGCTGAACCGCAGCCAGGAGATCGGTGTGAAGCCGCTGGCCTGTACGTCGGCCAACATTTGGCCCCATGGGACCAGCCTCATGAACTACCTGCGCATGGTGAGCCTGAGCAGGGGTGGGTGGAGGAGGCAGGACATGGCCACCTCAGGTGGGAGCACTCACTGTGTCCACCCTGTGGCCCTCTGCCCTCCCCGCTCCTCCCACCGTACCCACTGCCTCCCCTGTCCACTCCCGGCTGCTGCTGCCTGTCTGGGTTGCTGTCTCTCTCTCTTTCCGAGTCTTGCCTTCTTAATGCCTTTTGTCCCATCTCCCCTTGCTTCCTTGCATGTTATCTTGCTGTTTTGACTGTGGTCTTCCTCTTTCTTCTCTCTCTTGTCCCCTCCACCCTGGTCTGTCTGTGCCTTTCTCTGTGGATGTCTCATCATGCTGGGCCTTCCCTGCCCATCTCTGGGCCCCTGCATCCTCCCTCTGCCCTGCCTCCCCACCCTGCCAGGTAGAGTATGATGGGCTGACCGGGCGGGTCGAGTTCAACAGCAAAGGGCAGAGAACCAACTACACCCTGCGCATCCTAGAAAAGTCCCGGCAGGGCCACCGTGAGGTGAGCAGACCCAGGGCGACGCCAGAGCCCTGCTGGGGTGAGGGTGGGGGCAGGCCCAGAGGCTGCCATGACCTTGGGCAGGGCCTGAGCTGACAGCACCCTCTCTGCCCCCTAGATTGGGGTGTGGTACTCTAACCGCACCCTGGCCATGAATGCCACCACCCTGGACATCAACCTGTCGCAGACACTGGCCAACAAGACGCTGGTGGTCACAACCATCCTGGTGAGTGGCCCTAGACGGGGGCCTGGGAGTGTAAGTGAAGGGGTCTGAATGCTGGGCCTTCCCTGACGCTGCCCTGAGCCCAGTCCTAGCTCCCACCGTGAGGTGGAGGGATGCGTTGGCTGGCACAGCGCACAGGCCAGTGGGGGCCGGGATTCCTACACCCAGCAACTCCAGGTTGTGAATAAGGCACTACCATCCAAAATGCTGCCAGAGCAGGGAGGGAGCAGACTGCCCTCAGGGCCAACTTTAACGCAGCTCTTTGCACAGTGTCTGGCCCTGGTCAATCCTGGTGAATCATGATTGCCAGAACAGTTGTTTTGCCACCCTTGATGACAACATGTATCAACAATGCCAACTCAGTGTCCATCTTGAAGTTGTGGAAACTGAGGCTTAGAGAGGGAGGCAACTTGCCCAGGGTCACACAGCAAGTACCCAGCACAGCCAGGACTGAAAGCTATGTCTCTAACCCTTCAGAGCCCAAGTCTTGACCACTGTGTTCTGAAGCTCCAGACCTCTCAGTACCCAAGCACCAGCGAGGGGCATTGTCCTGTAGCCCTGAGAGTGCCACTCCTGCATTTCGCCAAATCAGAGGCAGAGGGGCCTTTGTACGTCAAGTATTTATTGAGCACCTGTTCTGCACCAGGCACTGTGCTAGGCCCTTTCCAAGCGTCATTCTTTAGACCTCATGGCTACCCTTGTGAGCTTCGTCTTATTTCCCCGTTTTGAGGATAAGGAAGCAGGTCACACAGTGAGTTCCCGGCAGGGCTGAGTGTCCAGCTCAGAGCTAGTGCCCTCTCTGCTGCACCATGCTGCCTCCTGCCAGGCACAATGGGCTTCCTCCCTGGCCTTAGGAGGTCAGGGAGGAGGTGATGCACAGGCCTGGCGAGCAGGAGGCTTCCCCAAGCAGCTGGCCTGGAGGCTGGACACGCCAGGCAGCCACGCTCTTCAGAGCGGCCAAGTCTGCGGCCTGTCAGCATTTGTTGTTACTGAGGGAGCTGCTCAGTAACTCTGAGCTGTGTGTCAGCTGTTAGCTGTGGATGCTGACATTCAGAGAGGGTTACAAGAGGGTTTTGCAGGATGTTAGAGGGTCCCCTAAAGCAGTGAGTCACAGAACAGTTCCCTCGGTCCCTAGGGAACTCCTGATCTAAAATGGACCTCGAGTCCCTCTGGAGCAAGGCCAGTGATCCTGTTGTGGAGGGACAGATGGCCTGCAGATGGGAAACCAGACACCTCCTAACAGCCTCCCCAGGGGACCCTGGAGGCTTGACTAGGAGCAGTCAGACCCTCTGTGCCGTGGTATACAGTCAATCCCTGAAGCCTGTGGAGGCAGAAAAGTTGGGGGCCTTGGTGGGGAACAGGGTGCAGAGGTCAGGGAGGGGAGGTCAGGAGAGCTGAGTCATGACCCTGGGAGCTTTGAGTGTCTTCTTCACTCTCCTCCCCGCTTCTTCTCAAGGCCTGGGAGCTTGTATTTTTCTTCCCTTCGTGATGTTCACCCATCTCTTGATGGGTTGATTCACTTATTCATTTGGTCCATAAATATTTACCAAAGCTGTATGGTGCTGGCCCTTATATTCTAGAAGCACAGAAATGAGTCAGGTGCTCTCGGGTGGCACTGGGAGGTGGTCCCAGTCTGATGGAGGAGACAGACCTGGACACAGTCATTCCCACAATGAGGGCCTCCCAAAGAAAGGAGGGACTGAGTCAGCTTTAAGAGGCTGGAAGAAGGCTTCCTGGCAGAGGTGACCTTAGATGGGGTTGCATAGGAGTTGGGTGTGCGGAAAATATCCCAGGCAGCAGGAGCGGCAGGAGGGGCAGGAGTCAGGGTTTTAGGAGGTGTTTGTCAGTTTGAACAGGGAGGCAACAGCCTCTGTGTATACAATCAGACAAGCCCTGTTCATTCGCTGGTATTGCCTGACATGGGTTTCTTGGCAAGACCTGTGTCAGGTACTTGGAGATTGAGATGTGACTCAAACTGGGTGCCTAGGGCAAGATGTGGGTTAGAACTTGTCTCATTCGCTGCTCTATTCCCAGGGCCTAGAGCCGTGACTGACACCTAGCAAGTACAGAGGGTTGTGGTGAGTGATGGGACAGAGGCAGCCTAGGGGCTGTGGGGCAACAGGTGGGGAAGGGGCTCTGAAGGACCTAGTTGTCCTGTGCTTCACCTTGGAGAGAGAGTGTTGAGCAGGAAGGGGCGAGGCCAGATCTGGAGTCAGGAAAGCTCCTTGTTGGCCCTTGAGGGATGCTGCTAGGGATTAGAGGTGGTCCAGGTGTGGGAGCGAGGGGCTCTGGTGATGGGAGTGCAGGCTAGCGCTGCCCCTGGGGCAGGCTCAGGGATCTCGTGCTGAGACAGGATGGGCTGGCACTGAGATGGAGAGAGGACCCACTGGGAAGCTGGGGTGCAGAAGTCCCATGGAGTTGAGACAGTGCGGGGGCCTGCCCTCCTCAGCCCCTGGTCTTGCCCCAGTCTTGGAGAGTTTCTCAGGGCCCCCAGGCGGTCCTGAGGATTCCCTTCATTGAGCTGAGACACCTCACCCTGCCCTTTGGTGACTAGTGTGGCAGTTGAGAGTAGTCTCTCTGCTGCAGACAGAGGGACCTCAGTCCCATTCCTTTGCTCTTATTAGTTCAAGTCCCTTAACTCTCCAGTCTCCTTTGCTTTATCTGTAAAACGGGTCTGCATCTCACCTTGAGGGGCAGTGAGAGGATCACATGAACTAAGAAGGCCCTTGCAGTGCCAAAGGTACACGTGAGAGAACCTCCCTCCCTCCCTCCCCCTCCCGAGCTTGTGGTTCATGGCTTTGAGCATTGTGCCAAGCCCTGTGCTCATGTGACTCAATCTTCACAGAAGCACTGATTTTCAGATAAAGAAACTCAGGCACGGGAGGGTTAAATGACATGCCCGAGGTTGCCCAGCTAGAAGGCAGCAGAGCCCACATGCCCGTCTTTTGCACCACGTTACTTCTAATATTTTTTATTTTTATTTTTTTGAGATGGAGTCTCACTCTGTCGCTGAGGTTGGAGTGCAGTGGCACGATCTCGGCTCACTGCAAGCTCTGCCTCCCAGTTCACGCCATCCTCCTGCCTCAGCCTCTCGAGTAGCTGGGACTCCAGGCGCCTGCCACCATGCCCAGCTAATTGTTTTGTATTTTTAGTAGAGGCGGGGTTTCACTGTGTTAGCCAGGATGGTCTCAATCTCCTGACCTTGTGATCTGCCTGCCTTGGCCTCCCAAAATGCTGGGATTACAGGCATGAGCCACTGCGCCCGGCCATGTTGCCTCTATTATTTCTACTTTCTGAGCCCTCAGGGCTGTGTCCTGGGCCTGGCACTGCCATCCACACACTGTGTGACCCTAGCAGGTCTCTCTAGCCTCGGTTTCCTCCTTTAAAGTGAGGGGATTAAAGTATTCCTAGCAGTCTGGGCATGGTGGTTCACACCAGTAACCCCAGCACTATGGGAGACCGAGGCGGGAGGATCACTTGGGCCCATGAGTTCGATACCAGCCTGGGCAACATGGCGAAACCTCATCTCTACTAAAAATACAAAAATTAGCTGGGTGTGGTGGTGCGTGTCTTTAGTCCCAGCTACTTGGGAGGCTGAGGCAGGAGGATTGCTTGAACCTGGGAGGTTGAGGCTGCAGTGAGCCCAGATCATACCACTACCAGGGTGACAGAGTGAGACCCTGTCTAAAAATAATAATAATTAATAAATACGTAAATAAAATATTCATAGCAGAGTGAGGAGGTTGGACTAGATCATTGTTGTTTAAACTACACTCCAGGAAATCCTGGACAAGGATTTGGATCCCAGGTTCATGAAAGCGTCCAAGCAATCAGCTTGTAAGGAATGTTCTGGAACCTACCCTACTTTAATTTTTTGTTTTTACTTTCCAGAGATTTTCACTGAAGTGTAACACACATACAGAAATGTGCACAAATTGTGTTACTTCTCACTGAAGTTTCAAAAACTGAACACACCTGTGTAATCAACCAGCTGTCCCCAACCCAAAGCCTCCCCATGCCCTTCCAATCATTAACCCTCCAAGGCTAACCCCCATCTCAGCTTCTGTCACCACAGATCAGCTTTGCCCGCCCTTGAACCTCATATAAATGGCATCGTACTATGTGTTCTCTCTTGAGACTGGCTGCTTCTGGCAACATTATGAGATTCATCTGTGGCATTGCAGGTGGTGTAGTCTCATTGTTGTATGTTGAATGTACTGCAATTTCCTGATTCGTCAACTCTGGATGGATGTTTGTTTCTGGCTTTTTGCTGTTAGGTATAGTACTGCTAGGAAGGTTCTCTTCCATGTCTTTTGGTGAACATGTATTGGTGTTTCTGTTGGGTGTGTTCTAGTTGCTGAGTTGCAGGGTGTTTGTCTCAGCTTTAGCAGTTATTGTAAAAGTATTTTCCAAAGTGGTTGAACCACTTTCACTTTCATTCCCAGCAGCAGCGAATGAATGAGAATTCCACTTGCTCCTTGTTTTGTCAGTGGTGAGTGTATAAAGGTACCAACCATATATGGTGGTTTTCATTTGCATTTCCCTGATGATCAGGGAGGTAGAACACCTTTTTGTGTTTATCGGCTATTTGATTTTTCTTTGTTTTTGTTTTTTGAGAGAGGGTCGTGCTCTGTTACCCAGGCTGGAGTGCAGTGGCCCGATCGTAGCTCACTGCAGCTTCAACCTCCAGCCTCAAGCGCTTCTCCCATCTCAGCCTCCTGAGTAGCTGGGACCACAGTCATACACCACCACACCCAGTTAATTAAAAACAAAATTTTTTTAATTGACAGGGTTTTACCATGTTGCCAAGCCTGGTCTTGGACTCCTGGGTTCAAGGGATTCACCCACCTTGGCCTTCTAAAGTGCTGGAATTACAGGCATGAGCCACCACACCTGGCCCTTTATTGGCTATTTGGAAACCCTCATTTGTGAGGTTCCTATTCATGTCTTTTTCTATTTTAAAAAAATTGGGATATATGACCTTTTTATTGATTTGTGAGTTA